GTTGCTCAGGTACCCTGCCTGTCTTTGTTGCTATGGGAGACTGGAAGACTATTACTGTGCCAGTGCTGTCATCAGGTAAACTGGTAATATTTTGAATTTATTGGATTTATCCTTACTGGTGGCGATACAGCGCCTAAGAGAGATTGGAGTTCCATGCATGACATTTGACTAGTTAAACAGACTATTAAATAATATGTAGTACTTACAGTGCTTTGTTTTGGTTTGTGTCTGTTCAGATATACCACTGTAAAATACTGTCATTAAAACACACACACACACACACACACACACACACACACATGTATATGAAGATTCTAAGACTTCTCACACTTTTTTTTGTCACATCTTTCAGAATATGTTGTATTTTCAGAGGTTTTGCTACTTGTTCTATATTCTTTTGCCTCATAAATTGATTACAAATATATCAAAGGAGTAAATATTTTTCTTTTCCTTCTATATAGTGGAAGAGTAAAATTTGTGGATCTTGGCAGATGAGTAAAATTTAGAAGGATGTAATACCTTAAGATGTTATTAAGTTATGAAATCTTTAATGGAATCCTATTTTTTTTTTAATTGTGAATTGTTAAATGTGCAGTTCTAAGTGACATTCAAAGCTCTAGAATTGTAAACTTCTGTAATAATTTGGGTGGTAAGAGATTTGACTTTTTGTGTCCTAAACTATTAGCCCTGACTTCTTTCTTAATGTTTTTAACTTTTAGATAGCAAAAATATTTTTCAATATACCTCAGATAAGAGTATATCTCCCTCAAATATGAACTCACAAGTGCTACGTTTGTCACTGCCTTCATCCAAAAGCATGCACGGCTTTTTCAGTGCCTTCTGCACAGAAGAGAATATTGAACAGAGTGTATCCTACCTTGATAGGGTAAGTCAGTTCTTGCTGTTTATTGGAGGTTGTGCGAAGGTGACATTATATCAATTGTGGTAGTATAGATTCACTGGATTAAGAAGGCTTCTTTCTCAATGCTCAGAAGCTGAAGTTTCTGAGAAATAGGATTTTCTGGGGAGATGGTGTGGGAATATAGGAAAAGGTTCATATAGAATTGCACCTGGTTCTGTTTCTTTCTTTGAGAGAATTGTGGAAGATTGTTGCAGTTATTTATTCTCCACCCCTCCTTGTCTTTTTACCAGGAATTGACAACACTGGGCTTTCCCTCTATTTATATGGAGTCCAAAGGAAAAGAATTAAACTTAATATCTATCATAAATTGCATGAATGAATTGCTTGTACTGCAGCACAAGAACCTTCGAGCTCAGGAAGAAGTAGAAATGCAGCATCTGAAACTCGGTAGTGATATGGATCACTTGCAAAACTGCTATGCTAAATTAAAGGTAAACCCAAGATAATTCCACAATTATTATGCAGCACTTCTGTTTAATAGATGTTAACATTCTTAACAGTGAGTGCTTTTTTGTTTGTTCTCCCCAGTACTAATCTGGAGTTATATTTTAATGTGCAATTTGGGTTGTATTTTGGAAGTAATTTTTCCATTTGAAAATTCTGTAAATTAATGAAATATGAATTGGAGAACTAAAAACTTATTTAGAATTCTGGCCTCTTTAATCAAGGAATAGAGGAGACTGTTTGGATTAGAAGTGTTAATGCATGCTGTGGGTGAAAATGTTAAACAGTTCAGGTCATACCATTCAGTACTACTTAGAAGGATTATGCCCAGCAATAAAAGTTGATTTTTCCAATATAATTGTAACCACTAGAACTGCACTTGGCATTTCTATTGTGTCACAGTGTTATTATCAGTTTTGCTCTATATCTGTAGCTTTTTTTTGGGGGGGGTGTCTTTTGTTGCTGTTGGTTTTTTTTGGGTAGCCAAATATGAAGTCTCTTCTTAATAATTGCTCAGAAGCTGTCGTCAAGCCTGAAGCTACTAAGCTTCATTTTATCACAAGATAAATACATGCACAAGAGAAATCACTGTGGAAGCTTAGATGCTACTTCATGGGCACTTGATGTGCAGTCATATTAGTGTTGTCTTTCCCTTGATCTTGTCAAGGATCATCAGTGCATGTTTTGGAGCATTTCAGGCTTGTTTTTTCACTGGGGCTGACCAGCACTATCTCCCTCACAAATACTGCTGTAGATTCTCAAAATCATAGTAGTCTTGCTGAGATAGGTCTTCCAGGTAGAAGCATTTCTATCTGATGCTAAAAATCATGTGTAGCTGCACTTAATTTTATACAAATACTATCTAATGTTAGCTTCTGGAACACTCCCGTTATTTTCCCTAGACAAATGGCATTAACCTGATGGTATTGGGAGGGGAACCTTGTTAGTACTACTTCAATCCCAGGGCATTTAATTTAGCTGTCAGCTTGTAAGGTTTCTTGTGTAAATTCTTTCAGATACCATGCAGCAGTCCTCTTGACTTACGCTATTTTGTTACCTGTATTCCAGTGTAGTTTGCTTAGAAATTCTTGTTGCTTGAATATCTCTACACATTCATAACTTGCTATACATACAAATAAAAAGAGCTTGTGTGTAGTGTTTGGCTCTGTCAAAGTTGACATTTTCAGGTTTGAGTTACCTCTTTGTGGAAAAATGTCTAAAATGCTGGTTTCGCATTATGTGTTATAGTAAGATCACCTCTCTAGCTTTACTCTACGTATATGAAATAACTCGTTTGTTTTGCTGTGGTCATAGGCTGCATATCTGTGTTAATTGTTGTCTTGATTATTTAACAGAAACACTCCAGTAAAACTGTAGTCCCAAGTTCATACAGGTTGCTTAGTATCTGCCTCACTCTACCTGTATAGAAATGCTTACAGAATCCCAACATAATGAAAAGTAATAACTATGTAAGATAATTCCTGTTTAAATACCAAGCCAAATCTTTGTTTCTTGTGAGCAGGAGTGTTACTTGTACTAGAGAATCATATTTCTTGCAGCCTCAATGACACGTTAATTCTATTTTCTGGAGCAAGATCATCCCCAAAACATCAGAGATAAATATATAGGCAAACTTAAAGTGAGGTGGTTTGGCAGTCTGGTTTGTATGTTTTATTGGGGTTTTCTGTTTGAAGGGGTTTGTTTGGTTTTTTGGTTTGTTTTTTGTTTCTTTTTTTGTGGGGCTTTTTTTTTTTTTTTTTTTTTTTTTTTGTTAATCCTTTGCTACTAATTCTTGCTGATACTGAACTATCAATATCCTTTTTCTAGGAACAGCTGGAATTATCTAAAAGGGAAATAGTTGGACTGCAAGAAAGAGACAGACAATTGCAAAGCAAGAACAGAAATTTGCACCAGTTACTTAAAAATGAAAAGGATGAAGTGAGTTGTCCTGTACATCAACACAAGTCATTACCTAGATACTCAGTAATATATTTTTATTGCAGTGAGCCTTGTAATTGTTCACATTGAATTCTTATTTTGTTTGTAAATGTTGTCTTTCACCGAAGTGAAATTGGCATGTTACATATGGGTAAATAAGCTCTGTAAGGGATAGGTCCAAGTTATAATAATAGCAGAGAGTACTGCAGAAATGCATATATGTTGTTTTTTAAGGCTTTCTGTACTTCTGAGCATAGCTTTATCTTAGATGTTTAAAAGAAGAACCAAGATCAGAAGACCCTTTGAAATCCAAGATGCTGTTTTAGTTTGGGAGTTGTTTCCAGTGTGCTTACCTCCCTCACATCCCTGCCCCCATACCTTCTCCCTATTCTTTACATGGCTCCTAAGTTTCTGAGAGTGTTCTCTGTGACCATAACCTATCCATACAGTTAGTGAACACAGCAGTATCTGTATATAGTGAATATTCTAAAGTTATAGCCTAGAATATTCAATGTGCTATATGTTTGTAAGCTTAAAACTGACAATTGGGGGGAGGAAGGGGAAAAATACAAACCCAAAAAACAAAACAAAACCAAAACCCAACCCCAAGTATTGATAGTACAGGCCAAACTTTTGCTTTATGATATGTTTTAATGTCCTTTTAGACCAAATGGAATAGTCTGTCTTCCAGAATCCTACTGCCCAGAAGATCAGTAGTTCACTATCTTTAGTGTAAACCTAACAAGCATACTTTAGAGTAAAACTAGATCCTGAACATTATTTACTGAAAGCAAGAATATGTCTTTCTCTGCTCTGTTCAATAAAGGTATTAAAGGAGTCTGTGAATTGCCAGAACATGAGTTCAGTTGTATTTCAGAGGAACTGTAATATTATAATATGTTGCTTGTGATATTGGTTTCTGCAGAAAAGACACCAACTCCCTTGAGAAGTCTGAGGTCAGAATCCATGGGTTGGGAGAGTTCTGATTCCGTTTGTCACTTCCTTTCACCAGAAATACAGTTTAATTAGAAGTATAATTTTGCTTCTTGTGTTTAGGTTTTCTGAATAAACCCATTGTAGTTATGCTTTAGTTGAAGAAACACAGTTTTTGTGGGGTTGCTTTTAGGTACAGAAATTACAGAACATAATCTCAAGCAGAGCTACACAGTACAATCATGATATGAAGAGGAAAGAAAGAGAATATAACAAATTAAAGGAACGCTTACATCAATTAGTCATGAATAAAAAGGACAAAAAGATAGGTAAGTAGCTCCGGATTTTACTACAGCAAACCACCATATTCTATATGTTAAAAATACTTAAATATTCTGGGTATCTTTAAAGTCAGTATGGCCCTCTTGTAGATTTTATTTAATGTTAGAACATTATGTAAAAGATGTAATATTTCATGTCAGCTGACTGTGTAAGGCTATCTTTTATATTGTTCCATAAGGTTGTTTATCAAGCACAAACCAATTGGAGATCTTTACAAAATGAAATGTTTTTTTACTAAGGAGAATTCTGTGGAATCAGTTTCTAAGACAGAGCTGTCTCTCCTCTTTAGTACTGCTGCTGCCATCACAAGACCTTAGATAGTGTCATAAACATTGTATTATGCTTACCAGTTGCAATAGGGAAGGACCGCTGCATGAACCTTTTTCCTCCCCTTAAGATACTACTGTCTGCTTGTGTTAAGGACAAGCCATGAGAAATTTTGGAGAGGAAGTAACACAAGACATATGTAGCACCTAGTGTTTTGTGAAATGAGGAGAAAAGAAATCTCCTTTATCATATGAATACCCATATGTTGTGCTGCCTAAAAATTGTGTGCAAGGCATCAGTGCTATTTAACATGAGCACAGTTTTTCGTGGTGTGTTGCTGAAAATGGGTATCAGTTATGTAATAGGAAAAAACCTGCACTTATGGCTCATATATCTGGCCTTAGAGTATTTGTATCATCTATCTCTAGTGGAAGTCCTGCTCTTCCTGTCTTATCCTTCCTGACAGCCCCAAAACACTTAGCTGTGTGTTAGCTGTAGTGCATGTTGTGTTTTAAGTAAGCTGCTTTAGTTCACTAAACCAGAAGAAAACTATTCATGTTGTTGCCAAACTATTTTTCTGCTGGTTTAGTCTTCTGAAAGAGCTTTAGGGTAAGACAGACCAGATTAGGACACTGTAGCAGGAACACCTATTCTGGCTTCAGAAAGTCTTCAGGTATCAGCTCAGTAATCTTTAGAAGCCTCACCCTGAGGTCAGCAAAATTTACTCATGGCATGTTCTTGACTGCAATTGGGCTAGTACTAGTTCAAGTATAAGTGAAGTCAAAATAACAGGCTTAAATGTAGTTACTGTTTGCTTGATAGCAAACTAGCATTGTGTTTGGACCACTGATCTGTAGTGATGGGTTTGGGTTTTGTTTTTCGTGGGTTTTTTTGGGTGGTGTTTGTTTTATGTGTGGTTCGTTGGTTGGTTTGTTTTCTTCAAATGTGGGAAGAGAGGCTTCTTTGTTTTGAGGAACATCTTGTGGGACATCAGGAAGTTGATTACTCTAAACTGCAGGTGTAACTGGCATTATTGGCAGAAGAGAGGTTAAAGTTGATAAATGACTGATGAAGATGTTGAAATAGGGATGAAGGTGTCATTAAGAAATGCATAAGAAAGTATAAAATGGGATGAGAGAGAATACATCCCTCCATGAATTTCCAAACACACACAAATTTATCGTCTTCCCTTGGCTATGTTACTCAATTACTTTAATCAGGGTAATGTGGTTTCATACGGGTCGGAAGACTGAGGGGAATATTTGGATAATGTGGTCTCTTGACAATAACTACATGTAAATGCAAATAGGTAAATGCAATATTATGTGAATGTTCATATATTTGCATGTTGTTCACACTTTGAAATATCCTTTTCATTTGTAGCTATGGAAGTTCTAAATTATGTTGGTAGAGCTGATGGGAAGAGAGGTGCATGGAGGACTGATAAGACAGAAGCCAGGTAGTTTTCTTAGAACAACATTAATTGAAGTTTATGTTATGGCTGTTATGTTGTTACTGTAAGATTTCTTCCTCCAGAAATGAAGAAGAAATGTACAAAGTTCTGTTGAGCGATTATGAACAACGCCAAAAACAGCTTTTAGTGGAAAATGCTGAGCTGAAAAAAGTTCTTCAGCAAATGAAGAAGGAGATTATTTCACTTCTCCCACCACAGAAACAGAAACTTAAAGAAAGGTCTGAAGATGGGCCAGTAAGTATTCTTCAGTTAAAATTAAGTCTGTGTGGTGGTTTAGTGCTGGAGTAATTTTACCATTATAAAAAATAAAGTAAAAGTAATCTTGTTCACTGTGGCTTGCACATCAGTTTAAACAAATGGTCACTTAAACAAGCAACCTACTGTCAGTTAACAGTACTGAGTGTATTCTTCCCAGTCAGTCAATGGAAGCTTCAAAGTATACTCCAAATGAATTGCAAATGCAGTAGCTACCTGTGTGTAGTTCTATATAATGATGTGTTTTGGATTTTGCTTGCCTTCCATACAAAGATGCTGATGCTAGCTTTCAAGGTGTTTATGCAGGGAAACCAAGCTTCCCATAGGATTCATGGGGGTGGAGGTGATATAATTAGGGTGTGCTCCTATATGGATTAGAGTAGTTGTTGGTTTCTTTTATGGAGCTGCTGGTAAATTCAAGAAAATGTTTTGTGGGTTGTTTTGGTTTTTTGTTTGGGTTTCTTTTGTTTGTTTGTTTGCAGGTTTTAAGTATTTGTTTACAGAATGTTTGTGTTGTGCGTGTTCTTTTTTTTTGGATTTTTTTTTTTTTTAATGGGACAGTGTAGGGCACATTCATTGTTTATCAAAGGTTGTTCATTCATTTTGCTGATTCCCTGCTAGAAGCTGCAGTTATTTTTTGATGTCAGATTGAAGTGAGGAATAATCTAGAAAGGTAACTGAGCTTTTACTTAGCTAAGTCCCTGAGCATAAAAAAAGAGTTGAAATGCAGCAAACATGCATAAAGGCTAGATTCTAAGAATCACTCACAATTGATGTACTAGTAATAGGATATTAAGAGAATATGGATACTCTACAGAACAAAGTATGAAGCATTTTATATTACAGCAAATAGTACATGTTCATAAGTAAGAATATGTGTAGATATAGTCTTTCAGAGTGTGCTCTTTCTGTGGGATCTAGTGCTTGCTGTTTGAGAAGGTCCACTGTCCTGCTCAAGATCCTTATGAACTTGTGCATTGAAACAAACTTGAGGGAAAAAATGGGACTTAGTGCTCTGAAATTAACCACTGATTAGACAAGTATCTGCTAACTGTTGTAGCATTAATGGGCTACTATGGTTTTGTACTTCCCATCCAATTTTTCTTGCCTAATTGTAGGTAAAGGGGATTGTAGAGAATGGTTTAGATGCTTAAGAGTGGAGTATGCATACCAGGAATTCAAATGACTATAGCTTTTCAGTTTAAACCTACTAAATTGTCCTGAGCTAGTCTTCTTTTTGCCGTTTAGACTTTCATATACTAGCTCTTCACTATAGCATTCAGGTTTGATGTTTGAACTGTATCAAAAAATGGAAGGGGGAGAGGGAGGTGCTAGTTCCACTACCTTCAGTGTGGTGGTTTGGTTGGTTGATTGAGGTTTTTTCATCATGGAGTAAAATAAGGCAGGGACAAATTACTTGATTCTCAGCAGGAGAAAATCTTTGTCTTTAATTCCTATTCATGCTGCATAGTGAGTTTATAGGCAGCTACTGCTTAAGTTCGACAGCAGAACTCAGCAGTCTGAACTTCTCCTAGCTTGAAGATACCTGAGAGTAAGTCTTGCTAGGTAATACACTCCCTCTGTGGTGGGATTCTGGGGACTGCCAGGTCACTTCTGTCTCTTCGGCATTATGCTGCCAGGGAACTGAACACCCTGACAGTCATGTTTCTCTGAATGGAAGAATCATTCCTGTATATAAGGGTTTTCCTCCATTAGTAAATTAAATCCACATACATGTTTAAATTAATGATTGCATGTATTTGAAGTAGTGGAGTGGTCTGCAGCTTCTTGTTTCTGCATCTGCAGGTGCTGTCAGACTTGGAAGACGATATTGGAGAGTTAAATAAAGAGAATATGTGGGAACTGTCTTGTGAAACTGTGCGAGAACAGCTTACCAACAGCATTAGAAAACAATGGAGAATGTTGAAAAATCATGTTGAAAAGCTAGATAACCAAGGTGATGTTTAATTGTATTACATTTTCATGTAAAATACTACTTATAATTCCATTTGGTATCATGCTCTTAAGACTTACTGTCTAAGCTAAAATTAAAGTAACTACCTGGAAGCCTTTCTGAAAGGGCTTGTGATTTGTAATTTTTGTGTGAATTTTAATTGTAGGAAAGCAATTGCATACCAAGCCTGTTGTTATGAGAAAGGACATGGTTATATTTTGACACAGTAAACTTAAACTTTATGAAGAAATAATTGTTTTTCTTTTGAAAATACATGGCCTGTAGTACAGTTTGTTGCCTTTCCTAGCCTTTTTGGATGTTCAAGTAATGCAGATGTAACAATTTGAAGTAATTGGATGCAAAATATGTAAATCCATCTTAGGAGTCTAGGCTTGCCATAACCGTACCTCTGAGGCTTCTTCTGGCAATCTAAAGTGAACTGGCTGCTGGTATGGTGATGGACCCTCCTTGTTTCCAGCTGTTAAACAGCATTAAAAGACAGCTAAAAATACATAAAATTCTTTCCTAGTATTACTTTTCCATGCAAGCAAATGCTGCTGCTATCATAGGGATATCTGCAGTCAAGAATAAGACTGAGAAGGTCACACATGCAATTGCAAAGAAGAGCAGATGGTCTATGAGAATACAGTTATGCCATAGGAAGGATTTTAAGAACACTTGTTTTAAATAATACTTGATTTGGTGTAGCTAACTGAAAAAATAGTTGTAAACAGCAGGAAAAATGTTTCAAGTATTTGCCATTTCCTTGGAATCACCTTTTGGGGTTTGCTTTTGGTGTTTCATTGTTTTTTTTGTTTTAATTTATAGAAATGACCATAGTGTAGTCCTCCAGGATTCAATTCATGTTCAAACACTGACATCAAGGCATTGAAATTTGGCCTGTTAAAATCACTGTGATACCTATGCGTGAAACTAAAGCAGCATGTAATTACACAAAATAGATTTTATTCTTCTCTAAGTCATTCCCTTACTGGGATGAAAATGTGCTCGTGATGTTTGTTAGCTCCTTTTCTCCTTCACAGGACTTGAAGGAAAAGGCTATCTTTTTATATCTGTGATAAATATAGTTGCTATCATATTTTTATGAACACACAAGCCCTTCAAAAGTGGACTGGGAAGAATAGGCTAACAGCATGTTACTGAAGAGCAATCTTCACTTGTTTTCTTTTAAATAACTCCTGAAACAAGTGGGGGGTTTTGTATGGCACTTATTGCAGTGCAGATGCTTGGTTTTCCTTTGGAGGTGTGAAATGACTGTTTTCATTGCTATTTTTTTTCTGAACTGGATTTTGTGCATGCGTATGTGTGTAGCATCAGCTCTGGATATCATCTTCAGTAGTGCTTTTGAGCATGCTGTATATCTATTTGTCTTTCAGGATGAAATAAATAGTCTAAAATCTTTTGGTATTGCTGTAAGTACCTGATATGAGGGATTTTTGTTGTTTTGGTTTTGTGTTTTTTCTCTTAAGTAGCTTTCTTTTCTTCCCCTTAGTATCACGTGTGCATTCAGGAGCTTTGAATGAAAAAGATGTCATTTCAAGGGAAGACCATGAGATGGAAACTGAAAAGCTGGAATTGGAGATTCAGCAGTGTAAAGAAATGATCAAAACTCAACAACAGCTTTTACAGGTAGTAGACTTTAATATTTCTTTTTCTCAACTGAATCTAAGCTGCTTTTTTAATTTGTCACTTTTCTCACCTCTGAGCCTTTCTTCATTTTTTTTCTCTCTTTTTTTTTAATAATGCTTTTAAAATAAAACATCTTAATATTTAGTCTGGGTATAGGTGTACTAGTGGGTTGGTTAGTTTAAAGAGCTTGTAATACCGGTAGGAATAATTTGGGGGGGATAAAGGTGAGGAAGGCTGATGAGGTCAGCTGACTGGGGATATTCTGCTTTGCCATCTGGAACTCTGCCCCCACCAGCCATCAACTTGATACTTACTACATTGTTTCTATTTTAAACTTCAGTCATTTTTTCTTCATAAAACTGAAAACCCATGGAAATACTGCTCCTCTTAACAGTCACTTCCAAATCTATGTTTGTGTCTCTGCTTTATATCTGCAGCAGCAGCTCATGTGTCCATGTGATGATGACACCACTCTGTTACTACAGGACTGCTATTTACTAGAAGAAAGAGAGCGTCTTCAGGAAGAATGGAGACTATTTCGAGAACAAAGAAAGAATTTTGAGAAGGAACGAAGAAGTTTTACAGAAGCTGCTATTAGATTAGGACTTGAGGTATTAAAAAAGTGGAAAGGTGTTAGAAAAGGAAGTGCCTATGGAAGATGAATCATGATTTTTAAGTAGTTTTACTGCTATACATACCAAAGTGCAGCCATCCAACAATATCTGTTTGCTGACATCTATGGAGAAAGATCATTCCCATACTGTATAAAACGCATTTATGGTCATTGTAGGAGATCATTCTGTTGGCATTAGAAAAACAGACCCCAAAAAACACCAGAAAACAAACCAACCCACAAAACAAAACCAAAAAACCCCCACCCCAAAATGTGGATTTTTTTTGTGTAATAGAAAATACAGTTGCTGCAATTGGAGTGACTAATTCTTTGTTTCAGCTTTTGCAATATGTAAGTACTTCCAAAAATCAGACCACTTAATCACAGAATCCTTTAGTAGATGATGCTTAAGCTTGGTTTCCTACAAAAGCAAGGTCTATGCAAGTTTCAGTCAGATTTGCCTATAGGGTTGAATTCTCAAAGGTACTTGACTCCTAAACTTTAGACTAAACCAGTGACTGTTGCTGAAATGCAAAGTAATTGTTGCCTTTTCCTTTGGATTATGTATTCTGTTCTTGTAGTGAAGTTGGTCAGTAAGCACATGTACTGGAAGGTGGTTGGGGTAGATGTGTCTCTGAGTGTTCTTTGGTCTAGCCAACAGTTAAAGGCTGTAGGGCTTACAAGTTTAGCAGGGAAATGAGGTCATGATGATGTGTGTGGTCATGAAACTATGATCATACAGATATGGCAGGAAAAAAAACTATTGAAAAAAGAAATGGACCTTAGATTTACTACTTGGAGAACTGCTTGCTTTGACATGCAGAGCAAAAAGTTGGGAGTGAGATGTGATTAAAATTTATGGAACTGCGGAATTCAGTTGGTCAGATGAAAGCAGTACTGTTCACCTGATTTCTTAAGGTTAGGAGGTTAGGACTAGAATGAACTCAATAGAACCTGTTTTACTGATGGTTTTTTGAGATGAAATAGCTTGTTGCTTGATTCCAGAGCCATTGGATCTTTTGGAGTTTGCCTTTTGCCATTATTTTCCTTTTTTTTTTTTTTTTTTTTTTGTGCTTAATGACTGAGAAATAAAACAACCCCTTTCTGCCCCAGTTTCAAATGGAAGTAATCAGTGCTATTTTCAATATCACTTTTATCTATTGAGGTAAAGGCTCAGGGTTGAGGTTTAAGCAGTAATCCTTACTGGCAGCTGCTCAGAAATGATGGCTACCTCCAGGAGGTAGTGCTACACTGAAGGGGAAGGGAAGCATAGGAGGCAGTGATAGGATATAGTGTCACTGGAGTGGAGAACAGTAAAGTGAAAGGATTAGTCAGATCTCAGGGAAAAAAACCATGGGAGTTGGCCTGAAAATAAATACCTTCTCAGCTAATCCTTGCTGGATTCAAAAGCTTGTTCACATGACTGTAATTCTATGTTAAACTGCTGTCTCTCCTTAACTGCATGGACATGTTACAACTTTTTCTTTCTTAGCTGGAATAGCATCAATGTGCAGTAAGCTTGTTTCTGTGGTTGTAAATGTAAACTGACATCTCTTTTTCTCAGAGGAAGGCATTTGAAGAAGATAGAGGAGCATGGCTGAAGCAACAGTTCTTAAGTATTTCTACTGATTACAAGCACTCTGAAAATGCGACAACTCCAAGTGCCTTCTTAGGAAGCAAGTATTTGGTTCAAGCTATGTTCTTGTAATGTGTTTCTTCTCTCTCTCCCACCCTTTCAATTAGAAGATGCAAATATGAATGAAACTATTAAAAAAAAAAAACCAAAAACCAAAAAACCTCCACACCACAAAAAAGAAACCTGCCCAAGACAAATTTTACCATGTATCTGTGCCTCTGTCTATCAGGGTAACTGGTGTTTCTAAATCTCCTTTTTAAAAGGAAATCATGATAACTCCTTCCCTGATAATTACTTACATAATGATTTTGTATTTGTGAGGTAATCTGGTGAGTGTCAAGTACCTGACAGGACAGCTGTTAAGAACAGGGAACTTCTAGAATTATGAACTTAAATTAAACGTAAGCATATTAATTGCCAAGGCAGTTGAAGAAATCATGACTTAGAGATCTATATAGATGTGAAACAAGTTTTGGGAACAAGAACATTATAACGTGGAGGTGGCAGCATTAATTATTTGAGATTAAGTAATATTAAACATGCATGCATACATATTCAGTAAGAAAAGAATCCTTTGGAAAAAGAAATAGCAAAAAGAGCATAATGATAAATTTGAACAATAACCAATTTTAAGATTAGTATCTCCATCAAGGAGTAAGTTTAGAAAGAAAATTAAAATATGGCTACATGATGTGTAGTTTGGAGTATTTATTGGAAGTATTTCTTTCTTTCAAATTGGTAAGCTCATTTTCCATGCCCTCATTCCTGAATATGCACATGCAGTGTTTTGGTCTTCACCAATGAGTCTTCAATACTTTCTAAGGGCTGTGTGGTGGGGTGAGACAAAAAGATAAATGAATTGGGGAGAAAAAAGTAATACCAATCTGTTAAACAGATTCTTGTTGTGGCAGCCAACAATTTCAGATAAATGTGTGAAACATCTGTCAAGTAAAGATGGCTTGAATTAGTATTCTTGTTAGATAAACTAGCCTGCATCATGTTCTAGGTTCTCCTTGTTTCTTCTCTGTGCAATTCTTTCTGTAAGTGTGAAATGATTTTCCACAGTAGAACTTTTATTTTTAGGAATAGAACTAAAATTGTTTGGCTGTTGCTCATGAAGAATGACTTGATTTAGTGCTCTGTGAGCAACTTCAGATCTGTTTAACATTCATTGTATGCTAAAGCTTTTGATTTGTAACTGCCTTTTTCTAAATTCTGTTGTTTCTGGATGTATTTAATGTCACTTTCTATTCTAAATGGCATTCTTTTATCTTTTATATATCCTGATCTTGAGCTACTGGATAATAATCATAAAAAAAAAAATGTCTGCCACACAGAGTCAAAACTTCATGTGGATATTATTCCAGAGCTTATTAGAGTTGATTTCATGCTAAACTTTTGTTTTTCACAACGCTTGTCCAAAAGCTCTTAATTCTGTAGTGCTATGGTCAATACTGCAGAATACACGACCATTCTATTTTTCCACTTCATATGACATGCTGTAAGATATTTGGTGTGTTTTTATGAAGTAGAACACACACAAAGAGAAAAGTCCTTCAAATGTTTTCGATTGCACTATAGTTTAACTGTTGATACATATATCTCTTAGGTTCTGGCCAAGACAATCGATTAGTGAAATCTACATCTCAGCAAAGAAAACCTCACTGTATGTTGGGTGGTCCTGTTTCAGCAGAACCTTGCCAGACATCTCAGTATATTGCACATAACAGGTATCTGAAATGATGTTGGTTTTGTAGTGCTAAACTCTACATAGAGCACAGAGACTGAGTTGTGATAACTTACGGAAAGCCTAATCTGAGGTTTAGGATTGATACATAGCAAAATGTATTAAATATCTTAAAACCATCTCTCCTAGGCATAACTTATTTGCATTGTAACATTCTCTCTTTTTTCCTTTTCTTATTTTTTTTTTTTTTTTTTTTCCCTTTTCTTCTCCCCCCTCCCTGTTCCAGTTCTGCATTGAGAAAACCTGCTGGAGATAGCAAACCAAATCAGTGGCTGGAAAATGACAAAGAAACTGAGTAATGCACAAAGTCATGGGAAGACTCTGGAGTTGGCACTCTGCTACGTAGAAACTTGCACATAGAACAACTGCCTTAGACTTCCTAGGGTTGCCTGCTTGGGTTTTTTTGTTGGAGATTGGTTCATAAACTTATCATTCTAAAGTGAAACAATACTGTGAGTTTGATCGTTCTTCTAGAGGATTATGTGGTGATCTGAATTGTGGTGTGTATGTGTGTGCACATGGCTTTTATTTTTTAGACCATTTTTGCTTCATTTTCTTGCAACTCTGAAAGAAGATAATTTAAAATATATAAAAGCTTTGATATTTTTTTAGTAACAAAGCTCTGATTCTGTGGATGAAGCAATAGTCTGACACTTTGACTGTAACACAATATTGGATCCTCATGTTCTCTTTCATCACAGGCAGAGATAGCACTTTTAGAAATTGTTTAATTATTGGAAACCTTCATTTATGTCTCAAGTGTAACTGGCATTAAAATTTCTTTTGCCTCAACTTGAATGTACAGTATACTGTAGATTTTTAACAAAACAGGTTCTATATTTATTGTGTGATTTGAAAATACCTCTTTGATATTTCAGATGACTTAAAGTGCAAAATCTTTATATATTTGTAAATAGACAAAGTGGTTATGCTGAGAAACCATAAAATGAACACATGCATACATAGTATTATTTTACATGGCATTTTAAATTGTTTTATAGTGATACTGAGTTTACAGATGCATTAGGACTTTCAGTGGTTCAGTTAGGAACCAGATTATTTCAAATGTGAACAATAAACGTGTAATTTTATTCTAAGAAACCCTGGTTCTCTCTTTTGTATGCACTAAGCTATCATGGATGTCAGGCTGTATACTGACAACACATCTGATGCTGGTTTAGGATTTTGTTAGTTTTTCCTTTTAATCAATTCCAGATTATTTATCTCTTTTTTTTTTTTTTTTTTTTTTTTTTTTTTTGGTTTGTTTGTTTGTAGCCTTTGGGAAATCTGTTTTGTTTGTAATGTAATAAAAATAGCCAAATAGAGGTAAGATGTTTCAAAGTCTCCTTCACCTGACTCCATGCATGCAGTTTTTCCTTGCCCGTTACGAATCATACTTGTCTTTGGGTTTTCATGCACCTTTTGAATGCATGTGTATGGCTCTCATGCTTTTGGAAGATGCCTAAGAAATGTGCCTTTCTTATGGTCATAGGAAGGAAATTAACTCTGAAGCTTAGAATCCTTTGCTGAAAACACATTGCTGCTTTGCATGTTATCTTCAAAATTAGATGTAATCAAATGATTGGGCCACCTGGAGAAATAGCAATAGAGTAACACAGGAAAGAGAAGAAAGGGGAGTTCTCCAGGAAGCAAGACAGACAACTGCAGTTTCTGCTGATTAGCTCTGCACATGGAGTGAGATGAAGCAGTAGCCAATGCAATCTGCAGAGGATATTTGTAGGGTTCTTGCAGAGCACCCTTAAGGAAGCAGAGGTGTATATAATGTTCTTGGACAGCTTTCTGCTGCAGAGGTAGTCAGGTTGGAAAGATGATGCAAATGTTGTATTTCTTGTTTTAGTTCTCCAGTTCCTCCTCAATAAATGGGAGATCATAGCAATGTCATCTGCTGAAAGGGTTTAGCAGTGTATAGTTACTGTTGGGCTTATACCTTCCCCACAATGTGCTGGACAGCTCTTGCCTGAATTTTAGTTGTGGACGAATAAATTTACATACTCAAAAAATGTATTTAAAGATGTAATGTGGAAAACTTAGTATATTGATGGTATTTATGTGTAGGATTCTTTCTTTCAACCTGGTAGGTTATTCCAGGACTGTAAATCCATAGTTGAGACAGTATCGGCATGCCACTAGGGGCTGCTGCTGCTCTGAGGTATTACCATATGCTCTTTGGTGCAGTGTTGGGACACTCAGAGGCATTCAGTTTAGTTGGACTCTTACTGGACAGGTTTTCTTCAGTAAGTTTTAGGATAATGCCTTTGACAAACAAAATAATTTACCTATTTTGTGTCTGTTGAATTATTAGTAAAAAAAGGCTTATTAATTGCCTTTTTTTAATGTAACCCGTCTTCTAGAAGTGGAAAACGGTTTAAATGCCTTCATGGAAGAATCAATGGTGCTAAGTGTGTGCATGCAGTTGAGCCCTGAGCTGCCTGCTCAGACTTGGTCTGGGAGCCAGGGGTATAGATTCTGTCTATAGTCCTGTCCCTATAAAGTACAAAAACATGCCTTGAGTTTTTTGAATTGCTCTATATGCAGTGATCAGGAAGCTTTTAAATCTGAAGTTACTGCTCATAAAGGTCTGAACCCCACAGGTGGTCTGGTTGGTAGTGTGGTGACACTACAGTACTTCACTGTGATGGAAACAACCTTGGGATTTTTCTTACTTAGAGAAGGTGGAAGAGCAAAGGGAATTCACTGCTTGCAGGAATGTTGTACAGGTGTGTTACTGCACACAGGTGCACATTTGAGATAATAGAGCAAATGACCTACTTCAGAAGGAACAAGAAGTACTGACTACCAGTGACTGATGGGATGCGGCTATTGTCAGCTACCTATGCATGACATTGGAAAGATGAGTGGTTTCTCTTAAACCACCATATTTTATGTCACAACATCTTTAAATATAATATGCATTGCTGCTTTTTCAGTCTACATGATGAGAGAGTGCTTTTACCATAAATACCACAGTTAAAACTTTCTTCCTACAAAACAGCCCTCCTCCTGATTTGAAGAACTGCTTCCACCAGCTTCTGCAGATCTGCAGAAGGACAAAAATATTCCCATGTGTATGGAAAGAACACCAACCATATCCTAGCTTTTTCTCACGGTTTATTCTATGTACGCTTCATCCAGGCCAAGGTAAGTAATACATCCCCAAGATACATCAATTTAAGCAGGTAGTTCTTGAGAGGAAAATAGAAGTATATGTGTATGTTGAGTTACCTTAGCTACTCTGTGTGCTGCTTTTTTATTTTTATAATTTGCAGTTACTACTAAGCTTTTGTGTGTGAAGACAAGGAAGACATCTTTTACTTTCATCCCTTCCACTACCCTCCATCTAACTTGTGAGAAAAGTAGATGACAAAATATGAAAGGTTGATCCAGTTGCATCCAAAAACTGATCTCCAAAGCAATGTTCAGTCCATCAGATGATTTACTTTTTGCTGTCAGACACTATCTCTGACCTCTGATGTTCACAGTTGCAATGTAATTAAAATAAATAATAAAAATCCCACAGTCTGCAATTTGTTGTAGTTTTCAGACTGGTGCAGTACTCATGTTCCTTTAAGTTTTGACTTGTACAAGACGTAACTAACTGGAGTGTGTAATAGGTAAGTTTGTTTTAACAAAATGTTCAATGAAAAAAGTTACAACTATATGGAAGAGCTTGCCAAAATCATAAGGTTTGTCACCTGAGACATAATAAATTGATAATCATTAAAAAGGAGTTATTTCTTGATAATATCCCTTCAAACACTTGGCCTTCTGCAGTTCTCAATAGAAAGGTTGCACAACCCCATATAGGCTTATGATGAAATCTGTTTGAAAGGAAGAGCAGTTGCTAGGGGGAGACTATAGAAACTGCTGGAATAGAAAATAAATGTTCATTTGTGGTCATTAAAATAGTGTTTGCCTTGAGTCATGCTTAAGTACTTCATTTTACAAACATGTATTGTGGAAGCAGAATAAAATGACTGAGGAAACGGTATGTTGCAGATGTTGAATTGGAATTGGATTCATGGGTTTTTTTTGTGTGACTTGAAGCCTACAGTTTATTGCATGGCTTGAAGTCACCCCTCCAGAAATACCCACCAACTCAGAAGCCTCTGTGTGTTTTTCTTGCCGCCTTTCCCCCTGCCACCAATGCAGTTACCACTGAGCCCATTTGGAAGACTGCATAATGTTTTTGGGGGATTGACCAGAACTCGCTTCTTGATTTATTTTGATTATCAGTGAATTACCATACACAAAAATGGCATGTGTGTTTTGAGCACCTCCACTTGCCTCCATGCCCCTGACATTTCTAAAACAGAACGTTTGTGTGAATGTGTTCCTGGGCTGTCAATGTAAATTGGTGATGGCTGCCTGCTTATGTCTGGCACTTGTTCAGGTGCTTGGCTCCATTTTGTATTTGGCTTCTTAGGAAATGTAAAGGATCTAGCTGACTTGCACTCCTATTCCCCCTGCTTCCCTGCTGAGACTCTCTGCAGCTTTTCATTGTTCATGTTTAGTTGTCATTTACCTTGGAAGATACAATATTTACAGATTGCTTTTGAAATCTTTGTTCATTTAAAAGTATTCCTGGTCAGTGTGACCAGAGCTGAAAGGGCACACTGATCCCCTGGGTTTGGTTTTTTTTTCAATAAATATACATATTTTTTCCATATATACAGGTTGTCAGCAGGATGCTAAATCTGCTTTGGTGCACATATGAATATAAGAATAGCAAAGGTTTAGCTATCCTTGTCTCCTGTCTACAGGGGTGACTGTAAACCACTACTGAGTGAAGAGAAAGGACACCCTTAATGCATGTGACACTGATGCTACTTTGTTAATTGGGCCACTATCAGTGAGATAACAGTTTGGGTCAGACGCCAGGTCAGCATAACCTGGACAAAACCAACCTGATCTGTGACTGGACCAAATACCAGCAGCCAGCTGGTGACACAATCTAGGAAATTAAGAAATGTGTTTGTTACAAATTTATTGTAAACAACCTAGTAAAATTGCTTTACTGGGATAAGTAGAAACTTTTAAACAATCTAGCAAAGGGTTTATATGAGAAAACCAGTGAGATGCCAAGGTATGACTTGATTTCTATTATTCCATCTGAAGAGAAAGTATGATTGCAAGAAGAGAAGTGTTTACATAAACTGATAAAAAACTTGAGAATTCAGCAGAACCCAGCCACGTGTTCATGAGCTTTCTTCCATAAAAGTCTCACCATGTCCAGCAGAGCCCCATTCACCTTCACTATGAAGGGAATCATACTTGCGCTAGTGCTCACCCTTGTAGGTAAGCCTAAACAGCCCTTCATCTCTTTTTCCCAAAATTTCCTTAAGTTTGATGGCAA